TGTTTTGTGGAACATAAGTAGGTGCTTCTAAGTTCTATTCACTGTTTTTCTTCGATTGAAGCTGCCTTAACTCTTACAAATTATATTTTTTCCACTTTCCTCGACTAAATATTCATGCCTGCAGTTCAGCCACAAGAAATTGCTAACAGAGTGCCTCTATACATGAGGGTCAGGGTAGAGAACTGTGAACATGATTAGCAGGAAAGTAAAAAACTTCCTATTTAAATCCAACCTTTGTGTAGCTAGAGAAGATGACATAAGATTCAGTAGCTATGAAATCATCCTTCTGGTGACTGAAATAAAATATTCACATTAAGAACCAATTGAAGTTGACAGTTTGACACCGATAACCGTTCTGCCACGGTCAAACATAAACCATCTCATAGTGAGGTCCATTTAGCAGTGACACTTAAACCGCATACTATGATGACATCCGTAGACGATGATCTTCTATTGCTTTTCAAGAAAAAATAGGTAAAACCACTCCCCAGATCATCTTATGTGGCAGCATAAGTTATATATAGGACCTTAAGAGTTGGATTCCCAGTTTTACAAGAACAAGTTAAATATTACTGTGGGCATACCTGAAAAAATGCTCATGCCCTAAATACTACTGTGGGATAACTCAGATTGGTATAAATGAAAAAAATAAGCGTATGTCCTAGAAAAAGAGCTATCTACCTACAGAAACTTGACGTATGTCCTAAATACTACTATGGGCACCACTACATGTCTAATTTGGAACATTATTAAAGTGGAACAAGAGCTTATATAGTGAATAGGGTTACTAAAAAAAAGGACATCCCTCCAACAAGGGCTTATGAAGGAACTTATGCCCTGAATACAAATGTGGGATAACACAGATAGGCATAACTGGAAAATAGATGTAAACACATGTATGCTACCCTCAAACAAGATTTTGTGCCTACGGAAACTTGACATATATGCCCTAAATACTATTTTGGTCGCTACTACAGGTCTGATTTGACCAAATTATAGTGTGAATGGTGATGTCTTCACTCTTTTAGAGTTGTTATTTATGGACAAAGTGGATTGTTGCAAATGTACACTTCACAGTAATGAGAGAAAGCAGATTATACATAATATATACACTATCTTATATATATATATATATATATATATATATATATATATATATATATATATATATATATTCTTCATATCTTATAAGATCATATAATAAATGTATAAGAGTGGAAACAGAGACCTAAGGTTATATGAGCCTGACATCATTAACTTTTGTAAGTTTCTCAGATTATCTACATAGTTATCTTGCTCAGCAAACTGTTTGAAGGAAATATTATACGGAGTACTATGTATGTAGCATGATATAGTTCAATAATATTGTTTCTACAGTTTTTTACAGTAGTATGCCTTACTCACATATATGGTATACTGAAGTAAAAAAACATGATATACTTTTTGAAAGGTTGGCCTAAAGCTTTTTGACCTAAGGCTACTCATATATATTCCACTCATATTATCTATTAATTATTGGATTGCGCCTTGGGATTCCGTACTCATGTTTTAAATTAATATGCCTTACTCTTATAATATAAATTTATGAATTAAATTCGTATCTAATCAATTGTTCTTATATATTATTGTGACTATTTGAATAATATATAAAGTAAAAACATAGATTTTTACTACTAATGTCGTAGAGATTCTAATACCATTATACCAAATGTTATCTATAGGCACTCTTAGCTTCTCAGGACAAACCCGATTCGACACGTGTCACTCGGCTTATTCAAGGTTATGAGACTCATTCATTCGAGTCCAAGTTTGATTATTGACCATCTGGGTCAGTACCCACCTCGAGGAGGGAAGAGGAAAAATTGCAGGTATGACCAAGTGTGATATAGAATGCTGAATGTGTGTGTGTTCATTTCCATCTTTCTCTATTTATTGTTGTTTCCTCTGAGATCATATGTCGATTCGTGTTAGCCGATCCCAAACTCTTTTGGGAGTAAAGCTTGATTGGGGTTGTTGTTGTGTTGTTTGTACGCTCGCTTGTGGTCTTTGCTCAAAAAACAAGGCAAAAGTGCATACAAAAGTGACTCAAAAAATGAGGGAGTAGCCCTTTTGCTAGAAGCAGGGGGAATAGGGGTTTGTGTTATCTATTTGTTATTGTATACTAGGGATAGCTAAAGGGGAGCCTTGAATTTTGAGAGGATACGGAGAACTAATAATGCAGCCTGGTATTAGGTTTGGTGCCTAAATGGCCGTGCAAAGATTCTGGTTATTAATATAACACTTACACTCTCATGATAGGAATTGAAAGACGATTATTACTTATGCTCATTGAGGTATCTATCATTGTATTGTCAGTTATAAAAATTCAATTGTCTTTAATAGCCCCTCATTACCCATTTCACGTGCTTAGTATTGAGCATAAAATAGGGAGTTATTTTATTAATTATTTAAGTATAAGCTAATAGTATAAAGTATCTTAAAGAAATAAGAAAATCAAGGACAGTTAGTTTCATTTTTTCACCTTTAAATCATAAAACGACACATAAGAAAAGCGGGAGTAATTGCTCAATGCAAAGGGCAGTTTCATACTCTATTTTCAACATTGCTTTATCAGTGTGCTGCCTCTTTTGTTAGCTTAGCTTGTGATTGATTATTTTTTATATGTTTTCAGCGTTATGAATCTGGGAGGACGAAAAGATGCCTTCTAAGTTGGATACCTCAATGTGCAATTCACTGAAAGGGAGAGTTGTGCCGTATTTCTGTTTTCTCCTCTCATTTTAGCCATTGTGATGTGCCTGATATTGTAACTTTTTTGCTTCTGCAAAATATCGCAATCTTTATATAGCATAAAATGGACTTAACATACACAAATGGGAAACCTAAACCTAATGAGAATAGTGAATCGCAATACTTTTAAACATAGACCTACCGTGCTCCTTGCTTGATATGCCCTTAATTTTTACTTGCTCCACTTTACCTCAGAGGCTCAAAGTCTAAAAAAGATCATGTAACCTTATATGCATTTTATTTATTTGAACCAAGACATAAGGCTCCAACCGTATGCCACATAAGCCTAAAAGTATATAGTGTTTTGCTTAAATTATAATATACATTTATGTGCATGAAAATAAAATTTCATGTTATTAATGTCACTACAATAGTTTTGTTTTTTACTCTAGGGGGGTCTGGGGAGGGGGGGCTGGGGGGGAGCCTGGAGTAATCAGGGCTTCCATTGAGTTTCAGCTCCTTATACATGTATTTTATACATGTATATATATTCATTATGTTCATCTTTAGAATGACTCATTATTCAACTCTCTATTTTGTGTATATATTCATTACGGTTGTCTTTAGAATGACTCAAGCCAAATTCACAAAAAGAGATGTATGACATATGCTTTTAACATCTTTTATAACAATGAATTTTGCTGAACATATAGCTTTTGTGTAATTACAAACATCTCAATTATACTAACGAACAAATTTCATGCTATTAAGGTCACAACAATAGCATTGGGCATCTTCCCCTCGCGCCACGCGCGTAACAAAACTAGTTCTCATAATAAAGGTGATGGGCTGTTTTTTGTGATCATTATTATTTAAATGTGTAAATAAAAAAAAATCACATAATCATAATTTATAAAAGAACACATTACCAGTGATTAATCCGTTTAAATTAATCTCAAGTGTTACAACCCTACCCCACCATTCTCGTCCCCCACCCACCAGCCCAATGCACCACCGCCGTCGCCAGCCCCCAGCCCCCCATAGACCTTAGCCTCTCCCTAGTCCCCTCCCTTGCCCAAATCCCGCCTCAATCCATCGCAGTACCCCCAACGAGCCCCAATCCAGATGTGAAATCCTTCAGACGGCACTACGTCGCCGCCTCCAAAATGTGAGCACTAGCAGTTAGATCTGAAATCCGGCATGGTGTATGGAGACAACTGGGTCATGGACGAAGGATGCGGCAAAGGGCGAGGTCGAAGATAGTGATAAGGTCGGCGGCAACCAAGTAGGCGGCACAGCCGAAGGATGCATCAAAGGGCGTCGAACAGAAGGAAAGAGAAGTCATGTTCGCTGGATGCTTCGGTGTGGATACTCCGTATGTTTTAAATGGGTAAGTTTTTTGGATAAGGTAAAAAATCCTCATATTTTTCGAAATCAAAACTTTATTAGTAATATATGGGCTATTTTTTCTTAATAATATATTTAAAAACACAACTCTGAAAAAATCATTCATTCTCAAAATCAAAGTTCTTAAGGAGAAAAAAGTTGTAGATTGAAATGGATTTGGATATTGCACCTAAATTGATCTCAGTGTAAACAATTCCTTAACATTAATCTTAAATAGTTTTCCCAATTTGTTTATCTTAATTAATAAATTTTTGGTAGAATTTAAAAAGATACAATGACTAGTACATGATTAAAGTAAAAAGAATCAATTCCACTTTTGATCATACGAGTTTTGTGTCAATTCCACTTTTGATCCACGTCTTTCACTTTGTCCACTTTCGGTACTTGACTAATGTTTTTTTAACCGTTTGTGGTCCTCTTCCGGCGATTTTAACCATCAAAAACAATGCCGGAAGGACCATATATGGGCGAAAACACAATAATCATGTATCAAAAGTGGACAAAGTGTAAGATGTGGACTAAATGTGGAATTGACCTAAAACTCATAGGACCAAAAGTGGAATTTATTCAAAGTAAAAATAGTTAAAAAATATACTCCCTCCGTCCCATTTATATTGTCCCGGAAGAGAGTGGCACGGTTATTAAGAAAAGTGGGTTTGTGTGGTTGATATTAATTGATAAAGTAAGAATAAAGTAAGAATGATTTAGAGCCACACAAAATTTGCCAAATATGGTATGGGACAATATAAGTGGGACTTCCTGAAAAGATAAAACGGGACAAAATAAATGGGACAGAGGGAGTAACGTTTAATACACAATTATCATAGCAATAGATTTAATAACCATGATCAAGTTCACTTTTACATGGATGATGACATTATAATTACAGTAATTGCAATCACAATTTTATTTATAAATATTTTTACTATGAGAGAAGTATGTTCGCAAAGTGCTCACTATTTAAAGTTACAGTAGGATTCAACTAGGGGAAAATGTAAGATTCTGGATTATTTCAAGTCACAGTAGTGCTAATTATTATCATTATATATGCATATATCTATCTAATTATTTATTTAATGAAAATGAGCGTCAGGCAAGAAAAACCTTTGCCTCTTGCTTCTGATACGATAAGTGGTACTAGAAGAAGGTATAGCAACCTTGCACAATGCAAGCTTAAGGGACTGTTTGAACGAATTTATGGAAATCCCCTTATCCTTGTCGGGACAGAGCAACAAGATAATGGTCCTAACCCTACCACCCAAACAAGTCACGTCGGCATGCAACATCACCAACTTTAGTTCTTTGAGTACACTGTTTATCTCCGGGAACAACTCCGGCCGGTCATCACAACAGATCGAAACCCTTAGGAAATTCACAGCAGTGAAGAAGCTTCTTTGTTCGTCGGAATATTTAGCGTCGTCGACGGTCACTTGGTCAGTTTCGGCCGGAATGTCGGCGAGGACTTTGCTGATTTCTGTTACTTTTCTCTTGAGATCTTTCACATGGTCCACTACGCTTGATAACAAAGATGCCTTATCCATCTTCAACACACAAATTAAAAATAATACTAGTAATTAACATATCATAATAGATCAAAGAAGAATACACTAAAACTACTAGTAATTATCTTATTTTCCTTTTTTGGGATGTCTCAAAATATTTGTCTCGTTTCTTTTTTTTTTTTGGGATAAGGGTCAGATAGGGCCTCGAACTTGGGAAAAAAATGTCAAATAAGGCCATATTTAGGATGCTATGTCCGGATGACGCCATTTGGAGCGGTTCCCGATGGAATTTTTTGATGAATTTTTTTGAGAATCTTATTCATTAAGTCTAGTTTACTCATATCAAATTTGAACTAACAATTCAATCGGGAAGGCATTCAAATGATTTCTTGAAGATAACTGCGCTTTTAACTGCACAGTTATTTTCAAGAATTCATTTGAATGCCTTCCCGATTAAAGTTTTAGTTCAAATTTGATATGAGTAAACTAGACTTGATGAATAAGATTCTCAAAAAAAATTATGAAAAAATTCCACCGGGAACCGCCCCAAACAACGTCGGCCGGACAGAGCATCCTAAATATGGCCTTATTTGACATTTTTTTTCAAGTTCGAGGCCCTATCTGACCCTTATCCCTTTTGTTTTTGTAAAAAACATGTGGCCCATACATTTTTGCTTTTTAAGTTTTTCCTAATCAAACTTCAACCACATTTTTTACATTTTCAATCACTTTATTAGAACTTGGGCTAAAGCAAGCAAGGCAATTAATTTGGAATGAAGGGAGTAATAAATTAAAGTACACAAATTAAAAAATATTATAATCAGACTAGAGCAATTCTAACTATATGAGGTCAAATTTTTTGACAACATGCAAGTGAAAACATCTTGATTATATATCAATTCCAATTCTTTCACTGATTTTATAAGCAGAACACAAAAATAATTGAATGAGGAATTATTTTATTGTGTCTGATTACATTAGTTATCCCCGTATTTGTGTATTTTATTTAGTTATTGAGACTTGAATTTATTTAGCTCATTTATTATTTATTATTTATTATGTATTTCATTATCAATAATAGGAAAGTAGTATGTCACTTTCCTATGGGTCGGCTCATTATCTCTCGTACTATTCTGTGATATAAAACGCATATGTGTATGCATCCCAACCTGATTGAGCCTAATCAGAAATTTTGGCTAAACATTCCATTGCGTTCATACTTTCTTAGAGAGAAGAGTTATATCAATATCATGCCTATACCTTCATCACTATCATATTTTATTATTTAATCAAAACTTTAATTTTCTTTATTCGTGTTTTATAATATCATGTTGGATAATTAGAGACTTCCAAATTGCCATTACTCTAGAACAATAATGTCACTTGTACTCTAACTAACTTCACCTTGGAAAGATTTTCTATTTGAGCAAGGACATGTATGCATTTTTATGCACATCTATTGCGTATATTCTTACACTCTTTCCTGTGTTTTTTATTTGTTTGATGGTAAAAAGTTGTCATGTTTTTCATTATCCAATAAACACGCATGTGTTTTTAAAAAAATCCAATAAACATGTGGCATGTATGAATGCACACAACAAATGTTCACGTTAAAATATTCATTCTTTTTACTAAACAAAATTTTGTTTAAAATTAATTTTTCATTGCACAAAACACAAATTTATCTCTTAGAGTGCTTTATCCACATACAAGCATGTATGTGTGTTCAAGAATAATAATTCTATCTCTGCGAATATGATTACGGTGTATTGAAAGAGTAGTAAAATTATATACTTTCTTTGTCCGGTAACTTTCACTATGTCCTCATCATATATTTCATATTTTCATTGTGAAACTATCAATTCATTGTTCGACTATCACTCTATCTATGAAAAATGCTTGATGTACATATTTTGGTGTACATCTTTCGTACATTTTTTTGTCTTAAGCACAAACAATTGTCTGTCCACTAACAATTCTACAAGTGTGTGAGACAGACGAGTGTACGAAAGGTGTACACAAAAATGTTTACACCTAGCACACCTCATCTATCTATCACCTAGCTTTTCCTCTTTTACATAGAAAGTGTCATTGTTCTTTTAATAAGAATGACACATTGGCACTCCCTAGCTCCTATATTCAATCAACTACGTGGCTACATCAATAAATAAAACTCCCATGCTCCTATATTATTTAGAAAAATTCTTTAGATTTGTTACGCCCAAGGGTCCACCCTATATAACCCCCTATTTTTTATTTTCTTCCTTCCCACTTTTTTCTCTCCCCTCTCTCCCCACTCTCTTCTCTCTCCTTCTCCCACTTTCGCACCATACGAACCACCTCTCCCCCCCTCTTTCTTCTTTCTTTCTTCTTCTTCTTATCATCATCTTGTTCTTTCTTTCTTCCTTTCTCCTTCTTCTTCTTCACCATCATCATATTCTTCTTCTTCTTTTTCTTTCCTTCTCTCTTTTTATTTCTTTTTACGTTTTATTAGCTAAGTTTAGAAAATATTCATTTGAATCACTGTTATTCATCATCATCATCATCATCTCCTCCTCCTCCTCCTTCTTCCAATTCTTCTTCTTCTTCTTCTCCTCCTCCTCCTCCTCCTCCTCCTCCTCCTCCTCCTCCTCCTTCCTTCCTTCTCTCTTTTTACGTTTTATGCACACTGACACTAGTTTACTTTGAGTGTCTGTGTACATGGACAAAAATTGTATATGTACATACACTTTTTTCTACGCAGACAACTAATGTCTGTGTACACCGACATTGATTTCCCAACCCCCTGACAGACTTGCAAACCAATTTTGTTCACACCGGCACTTTTTTGTCTACACAGTCAACTAATGTCTGTGTACACCGACATTGGTTTCAATGAAACCACCTGGCATATCTAGAAATTATTTTATTCACACCAACAGTTTTATTGAAAGTGTTTGTATTTGTACGGTTTTTGTCTGTGCGAATGGCAAATAAATAGGGTGTAACCCATGGTGTACACCAAGAACTTCTGTATTATTTAGTGGTTTCTATTATTTCTCCAACCTCTATAGAAATTTTAGTGACAAACTTTTTACATTATTATTCCACGTTGTACCGGTCTAACTTGAATGAGTTATAAGCGATGGAGAGTGTGTGTATTAGGACTACAAATTTGTATATGTATTAAGTTCTAAAGCTCTGCATTGAATTTACTTTAATTTCATGAAGACAGTCATTACACATTGTTAAAGTAGATGCCTCACACCGTAATTGTATAAAATAATGAAACATTATATTATATAAGATCACAGGTTACTCCTTCCATCGGGATGACCTTTGGATTGAATTCAGATTTTAACATTGTATCAGAGATAGGTCCAATTGTGGGTTGACTGCTTGTTTAGCACTCATAATTAACAATGGCTTGTTAAAGCTTTGTTTGGCCGGTTTACACACCCTGGTGTTGTCCTACCCGGCTTGGGCTGAGGGGTGTGTTAAGGTAAATGCTCCACACCATAATGGTATGAAGCAATGGTAGAATTAGAAGGCTAGTCCTATTTGGTGAATTTTAAAGTGATAACACTATTTTAGCGATTAAAGTTTCATTTAGGATGTTTTTACTTGGACTGTAATTTGCTGGTCTGGTCTGGTCTGATCTGGTCTGGTCTGGTTTGGTTTGGTCTGAACTGGTCTGGTCTGGTCTGGTAAGGTCTGGTTTCTTTGTATTTTTATAACTATCCAAGTCTGGTCTGGTCTGAACTGGTTTGGTTTGGTCTGGTCTGGTCTGGTCTGATCTGGGGCAAATTACAGTCTAAGTAAAAACATCCTTAGTCCTATTTGGGGAATTCCCAAAAAATATAGACGTAATATGTCAACTCAATGATTGAATCACGTTGACGAGTAAAAGTGAGATATGAAAAAACATATGAACAATAATACACGGAGTATAAATAACAACTTAAACCATAAAATAAGGACAACTTTATATTGTACTGTCCTGCTAAGATTATCACATCTTTCCTTTTTTGGTTCGTTCCACAAAGATTGTTTCATATCAAATTTGATAAAGTTTATGTTAATACAAATTATTTTTACTTTTTTCTTACTCTATAAATTAAATATCAATCACATAAACTCATTTTTCTTAATAACCGCACAATCTTCTCCTATCTCAATATTGGTGAGAAAGTACTATTACTCGTTATTAATTCTTCCCTCAACATGAAAGTACGGTACACAATGGAGAAATGAATTTAGTATATTTCCTAGCTTTTGTTGTCAAAACCAATGATGAATGGTGTATCTTAAAATTAAGTGCTCTAGTGAAATATTTATTGCGGAATTTTTTCTTTTGTATTCATTATATAAAAAGGATGACACCCCATCCCTGAGGGCCCCCCAACACCGACCGGACGACACGATGGGAGGATGTAAATTGGACTATAATCACAATCTGACAGATAGAGAGTGGGGTTCTGTCCCCGGTACTTGCAAAAGCCCTATGCATTTTTCAGCATAGTAACCCCTCATCGCAGTTGCCGGGATTCGAACCCGAGACCTAACCCTTGTGGCACTCCCTCGCTACCAGTTGAGCTACGCCCACCGGTTTTTGTATTCATTTTATTGTATGATCAAATGCTTGAACAGTTTTTTATAATCAAACAAACCCGTTCACTTTTAGAGCGTAAAAAGAAAAATTATTTCTCTAAATTAAATGTATAACACTATAACTGATTAGTTATTTGGGTATCATCTTGATGATGTGAAAAATCTTTTTTTTTTTTAGATTATGATTGAGGAGATGATATTATTTTGAAAGATTATTTAGATAAAAAAAATATTGGTATCAAATATTGAAAGGTTATTAAAGATTATTCCTATGTTTCCATGAACACATTTAATGCAACAATGTCTTTTAATTTGGAATGACTAAAATACCACCTTGAAAAAAACTCCATAGAAATTAAATAAGTAGAGATCATGATTGAGGGAGAATTAATACATTTTGATTTTATTTATGTTGCAATGAGAGGACAAGAGAAAAATATAAAAATCAAATACTCGGTATTTGAGAATGATGGATGAAGATACATCTAGCTGCCTAATAACATATGCTAAAACTCGTACCGTTTAACAATTAAGCAATGACAACTTCTTGTTATACACACTTTTATATCTACTTTATGTTCATCATGTATTCATGTTTGTGTAGAACGGATTCATAGACAAAATAATTTGCATAGACATATTTTGTCTGTGACTGAGATTCACAGACAAAAATAAATTCTGCACAAACATGATGTATGATGGGTATAAAAGTGGGTATAAGGGTGGTACAAACCAATTCCTACATTGCTACATACTAGTATTATGGAGTATTAATATAACAACTTTGCTATAGGTATCCCAATTGGTACCCTAATTTGTACCTCAATCTATTTTTGTGGCTCACAAAAGCCCGCCTCAATAAATAAATTGTCTCATTTTAATGAGGTGCTTTTGTGAGTCACAAAAATAGAAGTGAGGTACAAATTGGGGTACTAATTGAGGTACCTTTAGCATTTTTCTTGATATAATTAGCCAATAATTTTAAGTGTAATGATTAGTCACTGGACATAGATAGGTAAGTAGTACAGTAGGAAAAGATTAACTGAAAGGTTCGGCGGGTACTAGATTGTCCCCTCTGACATATTTCGGGCAGATCCCAGTTTCGATCACCAATGTAAAAACCACAAGCTCACCTCTAATTTGTCGGGGAATCCTATAAATTACTGTACGTACGAATGAACAATCAAGGACGAGTTAGGGAATTTCTTGGTTTGCTCTCGTTTAAAAGGTGATTTTTTATCCACCAGAATTGCACCGATTGGAGCAAATCGAATCGACTTAGCTATTTGCAATGTTACAAAATGAGTTCTTTTTTTTTTACCTTGAGGGACTTGGAACCGTAGAATTGGGACCAAACTTCTTATACATTGCATGAGTAGTTGAGTACTCTTCATTTGAGGTGCTTCTGGGTAGAGAGTTTGATTGAATTTTGTAAGCTTGTTTTTCATGAAGTAATAGATTATGTCCATCAAATTTAAGCTTAAAATTAAATTTGGAAGTCAGTTAAATAAATTATTGAAAAATATTACGCTAAAATATACTCCCTCTGTAACAAAAAATTCTTCTCACTTTACTTTTCGTCCGTAACAAAAAAAACTTCTCATTCCTCAATCTTCTCATCATACCCTCAATAATTTTGAAAATAATACACTATTACAATTACATTTTTTTGGATTATCACTCATTCCATCACATTATTCTACTATCTTCCCATCATACCCTCAATAATTCATATCATCTTTCACTATTCTGAATCTACCTACTTTTGGAGTGGAAAGATTTTAAAGTTACGGAGAGAGTATATAAAAACGCAATGTTTTTCAATATTTTATTTAACTCACTCCTTGATGGAATTTTAAGCTGAATTTGGATGATATGATCTATCCTTCATGTAGTACATGCTCACAAAATCTCATAAAAATCATACTCAGAAGCACCTCAAACGGAGGTGGCTAGACGGCGGTCCGGTCAGGAAATTCTTATAAAGAATATTTGTCTTGCATAATATACCTTATTTACTATGGATCAGACCAATCCGAGTAGTTGTTATTTTATCACTTTAGTCCACTTTTTTGTAATTGTATTTGTCATTTGATTTCAACTCATAAGTGACTTAATATTCTACTGATTACGTTCTTATTTGTTCATAGTAAATTGTTAATATTATCGGTCAGATTATTACTACATCATTTTTACTTATGTTGCAATACTAGTATATAAAAGAATATTATGTTGGAGCTGAGCAACCTGCTAGAGTACTATTGCATATGAATCTTGAAGCTATTAAACCTTTTTGCTTGGCAGTTGATGCTTATTTTTAAACGTTTATGTTTATGTTATGTTTAAATTTAATGTTGTACTTGAATATTCTTGTGATATTTGAACATTGAGATATCATGTATGTATAATGTAGCAATAATTATTTTGACAATTATTTTCATGATTTGATATTTGATTGTTTTATGTTACTGAAGGTAAAATGTGTTCATTTTAGGTGGATAATAATTTTTGTTAGGAACAAAAGAAAAAGTAAGAACGAACATAACTACAACTGAACCAAATTTAACAACTACGAGTACATTTTTTACTTTGGTCCTAGAGTTCATTGTTCTCGCAATCTTCAAGCTTTAATTGCATGTTGCCCTATTTACTTCCGTTCTTACTTTTGACATTTTTTTCACTTTTGTTATCGACACTATTAATTTGCTAATTTTGTTAAAATCAAAAAAAAAAAAAAATCGACCTTTTGTTTTTTGAAAGGAAATTCAGTTTCTTTGTGAGTTTTTTTTATTATAAGTGATTTTAATTCTTATGTGGGCCCATTTTGGTATTTAGAACAAGCAGAGCCTCTAAATTTATTAGACGGCCCTGCGTGCATATCACAGATTTAACCAATAATAGGAGTTGTAACCGCTACATGGATGTTCCGAGTATCAATCCTTATCCATATTTCAATTTTTTCCCACTCAATCAACTGAGTTACCCGTGTAAATATTGATTTAGTAAATATCCCTTTTCCAAAAAAAGGTAGATTTTATGGTACCCATAAAGTACCGTAACTTTGTCCATATATATGAACCAATTAAAATGTTGCAGTTGAATTATTTAAGTCTAAATTAAAAGTGATATACCTATAGATACACTACTCCATTTTGTAAATGAGTACCGGAGTTCTCACAAAAAAAACAATCCCTTTTCCCAATAACACTCGAAACAGAGTGATGATAATATGAATCCGTGGTTACACTTATGATGTACCTTATCGGACATGGGAATGAGTGTCCTAAGGGTAGCGAGCTGCGCGTTGATTCTGTCTCGGCGGCGTTTCTCGGCTTCGCGGTGACTCTGTGGAGCACTGATTAATCCACCGCCTGATCTCATCATTCCTATCGCCGTCCCTCCTTCATCAAACGCCGGCGGCCATGAAAGCAAAGCAGCTGCGGCGGCGGAAGGGTAGCCTGGGAATAATGCAGCATTTTCTCCCCACTCAACACTCGACGGATTTTCCATTTTTCTCTCGCAATATATATTTATGCTTCTAGTTGATCAGCAGGCGCTGCTCCCTTTTTATACAACGCAAATGATTGAATTCACTTAGCATTATAAACAACTATAAACACTAGCGAGTGAGTGATTGGACAGATATAATTTACTGATCCTTCCGAAATGATTTAATTATAAGACTATTTACGGAATAAACTATTTACGAAATTATGATCGAGTTAAAAATATTTTCCAAAATATTGTTACAACAAGTGGTGGTTAATTAAGTAGAACGGCCAAAGACTTTCTTCTAGAATTGAGAACTATGTAGTATCGACACGGGTATGAGTACGAGGATAGACAAAATCAAAAAGTAGGATACGAGTATGAAGATATATTTAAAAATATTAAAAGTTATGGAGCTGTATTCATTTTTTAGGGAAAAGTACGGAAAAGATACTTGTGGTTGGGCCCGTTTTTCAGATAGGATCATGTGTTTCATTCTTTATCAAAGTGGTTCATGTGTTTGAATTCCGTTGTCACAAAAGGGTCACGCCGTTAAAAACGTCTGAAAAAGACCGTTAAAAGTAACTCCAATTTTCAAAAGTGCCCGAAAAAGTAAAAGAAAAATACTGGAAGGTGCTCTCAATAAGATGACCGCTAGGCCATCTTTCTTTTTTTGTTTTCAGCCACCTTTGCCACTGGAATTTCCACCATAAAAGTGATATTAGCGAAATCAGTTTTAAAAAAATAATTCAAACACATCTGAAAAATCCAAAGGCAAAGGTGGATTATAGGTCATCTTGACGAGACGCAACTTTTGGTACTTTTCTTTTAATTTTCCGGGCACTTTTGAAAATCGGAGTTACTTTAATTTTAACGGTCTTTTTCAGACGTTTTTAACGGCGTGACCCTCTTGTGATAACGGAATTCAAACACATGGACCACTTTGATAAAGAATGAAACACATGACCCTATCTGAAAACGAGTTCAACCAGAAGTACCTTTTCCGCACTTTTCCCTTTTTTTATCATCAAAGAGCGGTCATTATATTAATATTGAGAACACATACAAGACAATCTTCAAACAGAATTTACAGATCCAATCGTGAACCCTAGGAGTAGACTTAGAGTTAGCCACCTCATACAAAGCAACATGACTCGCTAAACATGAAATGGGCAAATTTAGGCCTAAAACGATCGGAACTGAATCTCTGTCTTCAAAAGAACTCCAAAAATCCAAACATTCAAACCAAATCTACTTGGACTGAAACAGAAACAAGTGCTACTAAAGAGAAAATAATATTGAAATAAAATCTTGTCAGAAAGCTCTTCCTAGTATGGAGGTGGTTCCAGAGGAGGACGGACTCTTACAATATCGATAAATACCAACTCCACCCGCGGAATGGCCGACCAAGGCTTCACGATCCATTCTCGATACAATCTCCCAGCCGCACCTCGTTCATCCGCCAACATTATCTTCTCAGACCTGGTTGCAATCCCAAGCGTTAGAACAATTGAAATAAGTATAATTTGCCGATCCAACCCCATATTGATAGGGGCGGCGGAAAATTTCAACCCCTACAAAGAGGGAAGACAGCCGTTAGGGTTCCTCTCTCTAGAGAGAAGAGAGAATTAACTCTTTTTATGAAGGTGTATTCATAAATATTAAAAATTTTATGGAGGTGTATTCATAAATATTAAAAAAATTGGGGTGTGTTTATAAATATAAAAATAACAAGTTTTTTTTTTTGAAAATATACATATATTATCCTCTCGCCTATGCTCGGGGAGCGACTGTGGAATATGCTTTGTGGCCAAGTCTTGGCAAGTGGTACATAGGAGTACTTAACAAAACAATATTCTAATAAGCCAACTAAAAGGTCTAATATATAAGTATTTCCATTTGAGCTACTAATTTGCATGAATAACATCGCATTCTATAATGATCACACAACATCTAATTCTGGTTCATTTGTGAAACGGTCGGCGAACTCAAGTACTCCTATATTCTTTATACTCTCAATGTCATCTTCACTCATTCCACAAACCTTAAAATGGGACGACGGGAATACTTCATTTATAAACTACTCTAAAATTCTGTATAGTTTCAAAAAATCTAGAATAGAATAAAATGAAATTCATGGGTCGAGTCAAGGGTTAATTGTATCTTGGCTCATCACTATTTTGATTAAACTGTTAAATGTCCCACACCGGAAAAGTTTGGATGAACAAAGTGCTATATTAACACACGAGCTACTCCTCCTATCAGGTTGACCTTTTAGGATGGAACCCCAGGTCTTAACATGGTATCAGAGACAAATCGATCCATGGTGTGGGTCCCCTTATGAAAAATGAATCATGGCACGATTCAGATGAAGTGTCTGGTCGTGGGGAGAGGTGTTAAATGTCCCACACCGGAAAAGTTTGGATGAACAAAGTGTTATATTAACACATGAGCTACTTCTCCTATCAGGTTGATCGAAAAGTTTGGATGAACAAAGTGCTATATTAACACATGAGCTACTCCTCCTATCATGTTGACCTTTTAAAATGGAACCCCAGATCTTAACAGAAACTCTTTACTTCTACATGTAAAAAACTTTATACAAAAAATATAATTGCAGATCAATTTGGGATAGAACTATAGAAGAAATAACTCAAATAAGTACCTAATTAAGGAGTAATCCATATTAAGATGGATCGGTCAAACAAAAATCGTTATCATGCTGTCCCCTCGACTTGACAATTTTCGATTTTGATTACGTATTTACCTATATTACGAAATACGACAGGACAATGGATCGGAGGGCAAAGAATCTAAGAAACAAAAAGAAGGGTCCCAGAATTTATACTGCACTGCCCTACAACTCTATAAATGACAGAAGGTTGCAGAAGTATAGTTGATGACAGGGTTTCACAGTAAGAATATGCTCCATCTTCCCCAAAAGTTTATCAGCCATGGCTAACCTCGTAGAGTCATAGCCTAGTTAGAATTTCAAAAATGCGATCGGGGACTATGGTTATAAATTTGGTACAATCATTCGTACTTATACACGCTAGATGTATTTAGGATTATTTCTAGTCCGACGTCAGATTAGACCTATTTAAACAGACTAGACTAGACTAGATGTAAACAAATCATACTAGACCAGCCGACCAGGTTTTTATATTTCTAAATACACAAAAACCAAACATTTATCAGACCATAGTACTATACGAGTTTAGACTAGATGAGACCAGACTAGCAAATTACAGTTCAAATAAAAACATCCTTACATGTCAAACGTATTTTGTCTGTACATAAATAATTGATTTTTATTGTAGTAAAAGGAATTCTCTATGATTCTGAAAAAGGCGCACCCAATTCACCTTTTCGAGGACACGAACAATTTTCTTTACTAAAATGAAAATCAATTGTTTGTGCTCGAACAAACAACATTTGGAATACCCCTGAAAAATTTAAGCATTTTCTTATAGGAAGAATGGTCGATCAAATAGACCCTTTTACTAGTTGCATTCTATCACTCAAGTTCTTCTACTAAAAATACATCATATAAGTACATTCACTTTTTCAATACAACAAATCAAGTCATTTTGACTTGCTATAGCAGGTTAGTTTTTTAAAAAAATATTAGGACAACTGATAAATCTTATAAAAATTCATATAAATTTGGAAAATAATATAATAATAATAATAATATAAAAATAGCATAAATGTAAAAGTAGATAAATAGTTTAAAACGTTAAAATAATAAACAAAAAATAAGAAAATTGAAAAAATAAAGTGAAAATGTAATAAAATATAAAATATTAAATGTAAAAACCTTTTAAATAGATGTAGAATATGAAAATAATTTCAAAAATTAAAAGTTTCGACTTTGACATTCTGAATTTTTTCAAACTTTTTTTATCTATATTTCTTCAAATTTTAACATTTTTAGAAATTTTTAATATAAAAACCCTGTTATTACTGTTCAAAAACTAAAAAAGTGGCCAAACTGATCAAGTTTTGAAAGTGAACGTTCTTACGTACTTATATGATACTAGTACTTTATTTAAGTACAAGAGCATAAGTGATGTTTTGCAAATAGTATAAGAGTTTATTTAACCCTTTTTCTTTTCCTATATGATATAACTAAACTATATATACTTTATATGTCTTATTTTATAAGATACATTTTTGTTAAGACACGGGGTTCCATCCTAAAAGGTCAACCTGATAGGAGGAGTAACACATGTGTTATATAGCACTTTATTCATCCAAACTTTTCCGATATGGAACATTTAACACCCCTCCTCACGACCAGACACTTCGTCTGGATCGTGCCATCATTCATTTTTTTTCTTCATCGGTCAGTTTTTTTTCATCTGGCCGTTTTTATAATCGTGTCATTATTTTTTCATAAGGGGCGCCACACCATGGATCGATTTGACTTTGATACCATGTTAAGATCCGGGGTTTCATCCTAAAAGGTCAACCTTATAGGAGGAGTAGCCCATGTGTTAATATAGCACTTTGTTCATCCAAAGTGCTGGGTTTAGACCGTCGTGAGACCCTATGAAAAATGACGACAAGGTTATAAAAAATGATCATGACGAACCGATGAAAAAACGAACGACGGCACGATCCAGACGACGTGTCTGGTCGTGAGGAGAAGTGTTAAATGTCCCACACCGGAAAAGTTTGGATGAACAAAGGGTTATATTAACACATGAGCTACTCGTGCTATCAAGTTGAGCTTTTAGGATGAAACCCCGGGTCTTAACAATTTTTTATTTGGATGGTAAAAAATGAAAGATTTTCTAAATTGAATTACAATACTTTTTACATCTTATTCTATCCTTCTACAAAATCAATCTATCATTTGATGTTTTGTGGATTAATATTATTTTTTTCTTACTTTTAGTGATAATTAGAATTGTAAAGTAACAATTTTATCCTTTATTTTTTTAAAAACTCGTGTGATCCTACCTATACTTTATACCTAGTATTATGGAACATAGAGAGTACACAAATTTAGTGGCGGATAAAATATGGCTACCAAAATGTAATGAAAAACATTACGCCAAAA